GGGTAAAAGGTCTTTAAAAGACTTTTATGCATCATTCATAAGCCAAAGTTCATTATTTGTTGGAGCAAAGAAGTAGAAAACCTGAAATAGTTTTTGATTCTCCATCCCTCTCTTCTGCCCTCAGATTCAAAGGAGTTCATGCCACATTCTGATGTAAAATCCCAAATTGTGTTGGAGAATCATGATGTCTCTTTCCCTGACTCGGCATACTGGCAAGATAAAACACATGGAAAAATAATTTTTCTCCATTTGCCTTCTTAAATACTTCCCTTATTTAAAAGCCCACTAATCATCTATTGGCAATGTTTTGTTCACTTTCTCAGACCAAAGCCTCAGGAATCCATTTGCTCTGAACAATTCCAAATGGGGGGACACAGTAGCCATTTAGCACCTTTTTCACTGGTGAACTGCATGGAGCTTCTTACTTTCAGCAGCTGGGGGATTTGCATATTTTGTTTCATTCTTTTACTCATGGCCAGAAGCAAAGCTCTCCTTTTCTTTTACGTTTTCCCCACATGTGTAGACCTCACATTTTGTTTCACCTCAGTGACAGTGAGGGAAGCATTTTAATATTTAGCAAGTCTGAGTTGCCTATTGTCCACCATAGCTATTACCCAATTCCAGTTTGTGACAAGTTTAGAATCATTTTTTTCTTTAATGTTACGAAGGGATTAATAACAAGAAAATTGGCATGGCAATTGCAGTCAGCAAGCTACAATCAACAAGACTTGATATTCTCCAGATGTAAAATTTTTCCTCCACCATCTGAAGCCCTCCACAATATAGGTGTGTGACCTCAGTGAAGGCCAGAATTTAGATAGTAATTAGATTTATGTGGAAACATATGGACTGTGCTCCCCACCCCCTTAACCACTATGAGAGAAAGAGTGATTTGGAGTGTACTTTTACACTTACTAAAAAGGATGTGGAAATAAAACCTTAATTACTGGAAAAGCTATTAAGAAGAAAGAATATTTTATTCTTCCAGAACCACGAGTTTTTTAAGGCAAAACTGTCTTAGACTTCTCCAGTGGTTACAACCCCAGGAATCAATGGAAACCTCACAAATTGGGCAGCGTCTCTACTCTACCATCACAGTGGTCATTTACATTGAAGGATGGAATGTTCTAAGACATGCTTCTTCTGTCTGACAGTTTGGCCTAACTGGGCTAACAATTGTTTTCTCCAGTTGCCCTGCTCCAGTTACCATGGCTGTGCAACAAATCACTTTAAAACTTAGTGGCTTGAAACAAGAATAATCATTCATTATCTCTCACGATTTTGTGGGTCAAGAATCTAAGAGAAGCCAATATGGACCTTCTGACTTGAGGTCTCTAATGAGGGTATAATCAGACAGTGGCTAGGACTGATATCACACCAACTTCACTCTAATCTTTTTATTTATTTATTTATTTATTTATTTATTTTATTGTTGGTCGTTCAAAACATTACATAGTTCTTAATACATCATATTTCACATTTTGATTCAAGTGGGTTATGAACTCCCAACTTTACCCCGTATACAGATTGCTGTATCCCATCAGTTACCCTTCCATTGATTGACATATTGCCTTTCTAGTGTCTGATGTATTCTACTGTCTATCCTATTCTCTACTATACCCCCTCCCCTCCCCTCCCCTCCCCTTTTCTCTCTCTACCCCTAATCTTTTAATACCTGATATGGAACAGATAGAAGCTGGCACAGCTGAGGTTCTTTTGGCCATTTTTTTTTCCAATGTAGGGATTTAAGTGTAGGTGGATTTTTTTACTTGTTGATTCAACGCTCTCAAGATACATGTCTCAAAAGGGAGAGAGCCAGGCTAGGAAGACATAGTGTCACTTCACTATTAGTTGAAGCAGTGACAATAGTCAACCTGGGTTAGAGGGGAGGGGTAGGAGGAAGTCAGCCCGTGTTACATTGTAAGAATATATAGGATGGTCATTTTGGAAAATGCAAGACATCCTTCCAGAAAATATGTCCCTGACAAAAATAACAATATTCTACTTATGATGGCAGATTTTTAATATCTCACAGTAACAACATTTTGTTGACTGAGGACTCGTTAAGTCAACTAGAATGTTTTAGATGCTCAGTTTTTAGATTGTTGAGTTAATCTAATTGGGAGCAGAGTTAAGCTCTCAACTCCTCATAAGAGATCCATGAAGGGCTGGGTTGTAGCTCAGCGGTAGAGCACTTGCCTGGCATGTGTGAGGCACTGGGTTTGATTATCAGCACTGCATATAAGTAAATAAAATAAAGGTCCATCAACAACTAAAAATAAATAAATAAATTAAAAAAAATCTATGAAGCTTGCACAGTCAGGTAAGAACATAAAAATGAGACATAAATTCATTGTGAGCATCTATTTTGTGTCAACTTCTGCCCTATATTACTTACTTAAATTCTGATGTCTTTTAATTGAGTAAGCATTTGTTAAATGTCTCTTTCAACAGTGAGATGTTTACAAGAAAGAGAAATAGGATAGACTGTTTGAGTACTAGAAAAATGGAACAATCAGAGCTCAGAATGTAAGCTTCATGTTTTGTTCATTGATAGTTTAATTTGTATGGTTTTTATGCAATAATATGATGATAAGTTCCAAACCAATGGAAGTACTCAAGTCCTACATTACTTTAGGCAAGGAATTAGAAAAGACTAGGCACTGAACAATGATCAACGTCTTTATTTGTACTCTTATGAGGTAGAACTTGAGTCAAGAATTAGAATAAAGGGAAGAAATGCAAAAAGGAGATAATATCATACCCAAATAGCAAAATCAAGGATGTACAATTGTCTTCATTCCAAGAGCAAAGAAGAGATACCAACTAGTTTTTTAGTTTAGTGTGAAGTCAGGCTTTCAGTACTTTCTTTCCAAAACAACAGTCACACATCTATCATCATCAAACAAGAATAATCTTTTAATCTGTTTAGTAGAAAAAATTACAAGTCATTATAAGAAAAGAAAGATATTATCCTTCCTTTAGAAGCAAAATGAAAGAATATTATGATGTTTTTTGAACTAACTGGCACTGAGGCAGGCTTAGCTTTTTATTTCCCCTATTTCTTAGTTTCATAGATATAACTCCATCTCAATTTCTTTACAATAATAGGATGAATAGGAGATACATAAATAGTAAGCATTTGGGTTTTTAATTTTTATTTATATGTGAACATTGGGAACCTCATTTCTATGACAAGTAAATTCTGTACAAAACAGTTTAGATGGAAGTGAATGTTTATAGTAATAATGATACCTATTATTTTTATTGATGTGTATCAGTTTCTTTGATTAAATGTACTTTATTTTATACTATTAACCTCTTAAGTAGGTACTTTCATTTTCTTTTAGAGACAAAGAATCTAAAGGACAGAGAAAGTAAATAGCCTACCCAAAATACTGGGTAAGAGAATGCAAAAGGCAGTATTTGAACCTGAGTCAGCTGATTCACTTCAAGACTGTCTTTAAGTATGGAAAAGTTTATGCTTTCAGTCATTATTCCATTGGGAATATAATTTGTATTAATGCAGCTAACCATGATGACACATCAATCCTTAACCTAGTAGCTCTGGGTTTTCATTTTACCAGCTAGTCAGACTTAGGCAAGTTAGCTAAACTCTCTGTTACGAAGTTAATTTTTTTGAGGTTATAGAAAATAATTTGCATTAAAAATGGTAAAAATAGTTCTCCTAAAGAAGAGACCCATGAAGATGTTATTGCTACTACTATACTACTATTCCTTTTACTATATTAACATTGCTTTATTATCTCTATGTGTTTATAAGATAACTACCTTGTATTGGTAATCCATCCTGGTCTAGGAGCAAAGGAAAACTTCCTTAGAATAATTAAGTTTGGCACTAATAACAAGTTGATCTAATTGGTGGGCTTTAGCAACTAAAGAACATTGATAACTGGCCATCAGAACTAGCTTTTAAAAGGACTGATAAGACATAATTTTTCTTTGTTCACATATAAAAAAACACAGTGAAACTGCATGTCACAACCACAAGAATGGGATCCTAATTAAAATAAGTTTACTCCATGTATGTATAATATGTCAAAATATGCTCTACTGTCATGCACATCTAGAAAGAACAAATAAAAATTTTAAAAAGAAAAGTCAAAAAGAATAATACCACCAAAAATAACTTGGTGAGTTTGAACTTGCTGCTTGCAGCCCCATCATATACTGGGTTGATTATTCAGAAGCTCATTTGTGATTTTGCACAATGCATATCTGTCTCTCTTTTTCATTTTTTAACCAATTGAGGCAACTTGAAAGAATGATTACTGGTAGGGGATGATTTTTGTGTGTGAAAAACTAGAAAGAAGAGGAATGACTGGGAAGGGGAAATTTTAAAAATGTCTATCCAAATCATAAAGAATTATAATTACAACTGAAAGAAATATGATTTAGATTCCTCATCTTATCCTTAAAATTGAAGTTTTCAGATGATATATAGTCACCTTGTTAAATCTGAATTTTAGATAAGCAGCAAATATTTATTCTTGTCTACCAAATATCTCCTGAGATTCATACCGTAAGTTGTTACCTGATGGCCTCAGTTATTTTCAGGCTTACCAGTTTTGCCCTGGAGTGTGAGGCAGTAAGGGAAGCCAGGATTTAGAAGTACAGAGCCTTTGGCTGAGTGTGACACTAAGTGAAGAGTCACAATGAAGTTTACAAACTGAGCTCTGACTCCACTCTATCTCTAAACTCCTGGCCATGAACCCTGTGTTCCTATTGAAACCTGAAATGTGTTGATTCTGTAATTCTTACCTTTCCCTTTCTGTGACTGATCTCATTTATTTTCCTTTGAATATCCTTCTGATCAACTTCTACCCATCAGATTCCTGAATATCCTTCAAAGCCTGTCTATAATGGCTGATTCTCTACTTATCCTATGGCATAGAGTTGTGTAGAAATGGTGTGGATTTGCAGTGGGATCTTAGCAGAACTGAGGTATGTTCTTACAGAGTCTTTCCCTTCATCTCTAGATACATGAAGTTTGATGACCTTGGAAGCCATGTGTGGAGCCATAACATTGAAGGATCCTTGGTTCCTCTATCACACTTTTGGAGAGGTACAGGACGGTCAATAAACACGGTTGGCTAAGGAAGAGAATTATCTCTAACATGAAAATTTCAAAATGCTTATGAAAATTTAAAGAGGACACAAAAAATAGAAAGATATCCCATGTTAATGAATTGGAATAATTATTGCTAAAATGTCCTTACTACCCAAAGCAATCTACAGATTCGATGTGATACACATAATATTCTAATTGCAGCCTCCACAAAGATAGAAAAAACAAACCTAAAATGGAACCACAAAATACCCCAAATAGTTAAAGGAATCTTCATCAAAATGAACAAAGCTGTAGGTATTACAATATCTGATGTCAGAACATACTACAAAATTAAAATAACCAAAATAACATGATACTGGCATAAAAAGAGACACGTAGATCAATGAAAAATAAAAGAGAACCCAGAAATGAATCCACATGTCCACAGCCAAATGATCTTTGACAAAGGTGGAAATTGGATAAAGGACACTCGATTTAATAAATGGTGCCAGGAAACAGGACACCCATATGTAAAAGAGCAAAACTAGACTCATATCTCTCACCATACATGAAAATAAATTTAAAATGGATCAAAGACCAAAATGTAAAACATGATACTACAAGAAGAACAACAGGGAAAACACTTCAAGGCATCTATGCAAACAATGATTTCTGGATAAGACCCCAAAGTTTCAGCAAGAAAAGCAAAAATGTACAAATAAGATTATGTCAAATGAAGAAGCTTCTTCATAGCAAAGGAAATAATCAACAGAGTTTAAAAAAAATAGCCTACAAAATGGGGAAAATATTTGCAAACTAATCATCTAACAAGAAGTTAATATCCAGAATATAAAAGTGACTTAAGAAATGTGGTGCATATATTCACCAGTGTATTATTCAGGCATGAAAAAGTATTGACTTCTATCATATATGGTAGCATAAATGGAACTGGGAAGCATTATGACAAGTGAAATAAGACAGGCTTGGAAAGACATGATCTTTCTCATATGTGAAAAAACAAGTTGATTTCATAGAGATTAGAAGAGTAGTCACAAGAAGATAGGAAGATGAAAGAGAATAAAAGGAAGTTAGATAATGGGTATGATAATATGTTACAAGCCAGGTACAGTGGTGCATGCCTATAAGCTCAGCAACTCAGGAAGATGATGCAAGAGGATCTCAAGTTCCAGGCTAGCAAGAGCCTCAGCAACTTAACAAGCCAGACTCTATCTCAAAATAAAATATAAAAAGGATTGGGGATTCATTGGTAGAACACTTCCATGTTCAATCCTCACTACCAAAAAAAAAAAAAAAATTAAAATTAAAAATTAAAAGTTATAACACAAATGACAAATGATAAAGAAGAGAGAAATGTTAATTACCCTGATTTGATCATTACACACTGTGTATAGGAATTATTACTCTGTACCTCAAAAATATGCACAATTATTCAAATTAGAATTTCATAGAAACAAACAAAATCTTGTATTGCTTTTTGTATTTTTATTGGTTAGTGTTATACTAGCTAATATAGAATACAATGAACTGTATCCTACTTCATGAAGCTTCTATCCATTAATTAAGAACACAATGAGAAACTAAGTTCAAATATATGTGACATAAATTTCACACTTAAAGGATTCACTATTTAATAGGAAAAATAGGCATGCAATTATGGTAAAGAATAAGATATTTAGAGACATGTGTAATTAAATTGTGATATTTAATTTACCTTTTTTTTTCTTTTGTTCTTCTTTTTTTTAAAAAAAGATATCATTATTATTATTATTCTTATTCAATCAATAAAGAAACTGAAGCTTAGACATGTTTTGCAATTTGCTGAAAATCAGACAACTAAGTGTAGAAGTTAACCTTTAATCCCAGGCAATCAAATGTGTAGTCTCACGATGACCCAACACTGAAATTCAATATAATGAAAGTTAGAGTAAGAACGCAAAAGAAGGACTGGCCAATTTTAGTGAGGCAGAGTTAACCTGAAACTTTTTTTGGAAAAGGTGATTATTTAGCTGATTCTGAAGGGATGAAGAATTATAGTATCATAAAGGTCCCATGTGATGTACTGAGGAGTCTGTATCTACCAGAAAGGTGACAGAAACCATGGAAGAGCCAGGAGGAGGAAGGAGAGTCACCTTGTATTCTTCACAGATTCCCTCATTTTTTTTTTTTTTTCAGAAAATACCCAGACTTGCTCTATCGTGCCAAATACTTGATTCTTAGAGCACTGGAGGAATTCAATTTCTTTTTGTAGACTTTTCTGGAAGGATTCTCCTTGTTCTGAACTCCTTGTCCTTTTTGGTTGTTGTTGCTTTCTTTTGCTGTTGGATCTCTGAGAAAACATTCCAGCCTGTCACCATGTCAATAGCCAAATTAGGCTGCTGATGAGAACAGCATGCTATATTAGTAATAGGAAAACAAGGTTGTAAACCCTGCTTCAAAGACTTCATGTTGCTCTTGGCTATAACTGGGGGAAAGGCCTGAAGAAGACAAGCCTACGAAATACGAAAAAGTGCAAAAAGGCTTCTAATGGGTGAGTGGTTAGGCAGCACAGTGAGCCCTGGAAAGAACATCCCCTGGCATAGCTCTCCACACATAGTAGGCATTCAATAAATACAGGTGAAATGAAGTGAGATCAAGAGAGACTTCTGCCCACCTCCACTGGTACTGAGAGATAGGAACTTCTCACCACATTTATCTTAGCTGTGTTACAGGTTGAAGAGGGGAATCAGGCAAGTGAGCAGGAACTAAGGAGAACTTTTTAAAATAACCTTTTTTTTTTTACATACAGAATTAGACTTCCAATTATCTCATTTGCCAAACATGAAATTGGAAATGAAATCAAATTGGTCTCCTTTGAGGTCAAAGATTTGCTATTTTGCCTTGTAGGAAAAACCTCTCTCATATAAGCACTTCTACTTTTAGGAGAAATCTCTCGTCCCTCACTCATATTTGGCCAAATAAGTTTTGGTAAAACTTACATGAGTCAGTTGAGTATAGAACATGGTAGAGTATTAGCAGTTTGTTTGCTGTAAGAGCCATTTGATTTTTCTGTACATTGTAGGCATTCAATAAAGTCTTGCTTATTAGAATAATGAAGGAGAGAGAACCGTGTGGTATTCAAATAAGACTACAAATTCAATACACTGAGTTGTGTGGTGTCCTGTAGCAAACAATTTAAAGCAAGGGTAATAATTTAAGCAGTGTTGTAGGTAACAATGATTTGGGGCAGGTGAGGTGTGTCCAGATTTTTGCCTTGCCACTCACTTGTGTTGTGACCCTAAGCAATTTTCTCTGCCTCGCTCTACTTTTATTTTTCTATAAGATGAAAATAATTTGATCTACATCATAATACCATTTAAGAATTAAAATAGGGGCTGGGGATGTGGCTCAAGCGGTAGCGCGCTCGCCTGGCATGCGTGCGGCCCGGGTTCGATCCTCAGCACCACATACCAACAAAGATGTTGTGTCCGCTGAAAACTAAAAAATAAATATTAAAATTCTCAAAAAAAAAAGAATTAAAATAGATGATATACGTAAAATACATATTTGATAAATATCAGTCACCCGTGGGGCATTAAGTTTGAGGACAGTAAGCTCCAAGGACAAGTCATCAAGGATGACTCAATAATTAGACCAATGCATTATTCATGGCCTTAATCCATTTGGATTGATTAGTTCCTGTTACATGCCCTTAATAAGTATTTTACCTCTCACTTTGGCCTTAGGAAATCATTATGTCACGTACTCTAATAATAAATTGATGCTTCTCAATCCTGACCTCGCGTTATAAAGGAAAGTGTTGAGTTAGATTCAGAATATTCTCAGAAGAAAGCAGGTAATTATTTTTCAGGTATTTCAATCTTGATCTTCCTTGAATAAAACTTTTTGTACTAATCGAGTGGTAAAGCGTAAATCATTTGTCCAGTTCACTTGCAGAAACACTGAAATCCCTGATGAGGCTAGATCGGGTAGTTGCTCTGCCTCATTTAGAAGAATTGTGTTCCCAGAAGGGCAAGGGTTCAGATAAAAAGAAGTCTTATAAACAGGAATGGTTTGTCGAAATGAACCAAGTAAGCATACAGGCACCAAGGCAAAGGCTCCTAGAGCATGGCTTGGGTGTGGCCTCCAGACGGTGGCTTTGCCTACTGAGCCAGCAGGGTCTTACATAACAAGGAGCCTGTTTCAATCCAGCAGGAAACCCAAGTCCAGACGACACCCTGCCTGCAGAGGACTGCCAGGTAGCAGCCTGACTGCCTCTTTTCTTTCCTCTTCCACTGAAAGAGACCCAGGGCAGACGTTTCCCTCACACCCTGAATTCATTAGACTTATTTTCTCCTAACCATGCTGCGGAGGTTGAATTGCCCTCATTCATAAGTTGACTCCAGATCAAGAGAAAGAGACAGCAGCATCCAGCTATTGCACCTAATAAAATGTGTCCAGTGGAAATCGCAAGAGAAATTGGATGAAAAATCCTAAATAATAAGAATCCTCAGGAACCTGCCCTGGAATTCCAACAGTTTTTACAGGTCATGGGGTGGAAAGATGCTTTGGATTTACTATTTTTTAAAAAAAATCATCTTTACCCTCAGTCATTACTTTATCCCTGGTTTCAGATGACTCTCATGGGACTTCATCTCTCCAGAAAAACCCCTTGTTCCTTAGAGAAAGTGATTGAGTTTAAAGGCATCACAGAGACCAGGGATTGAGAATCTGATTGGTTTTAGCCCTCAGGGGTCTCACCCCCTTCTCCTCTGAGCCATCTCCTCCCCGTACTGCTCACTAGCCCTGTTCATAATTATCTGCTGTCATGATGCTATTGCTTTTGGCAATAAACACTTTGCACATTGCTACTGGTTTTTGCCAAGACAGCATGCCCTGCTCAGATTTATGATCTAAAAGATACAAGACTAACTTTCACAGCATAGTCCGTTCCATAAAAGAAAGAAATTTTATAAAAAGCCTTGCCTTTCACCTTGCCCACTTCTCTTCTTTTCTCTGTATCCAGGACAAGCTGCAGAATGTGCAAGTGGAAATGGGAAGGCTTTTTATGAAGAAAACAGCAGAGGCTTAAACGGATATGTGTTTGAAATCTGATTTGAGGTCTATTTCTCCTAGTCACAATGTACTTTTCTGTCTTATTGAGAAAAAGAAGAGAAGGAGGAGAAGGAGGAGGAAGAGGAGGAGAAGGAGCAGGAGGAGGAGGAGCACGAGGAGGAGGAGGGAGAAGGAGGAGATAAAATCAGAAATAAAACCTAAACTTCCATTGGTGCCCATTTTTCCCCTCTACCATCTACTCTTTGTGTCCTTGAGCACCTCTCCCAAGCATCCATCTTATCCAAGTCTACATAGCACAGAACACAATACCCTTTAGAATCAGATGTACCTGGATTTGAATGTGCAAACCTCTTAGTCTCAATTTCCCTTGTGTTAAATAAGTAAATCAATAGCATAAAAACACTCTTTTCTGGTTGACAAAGGACTCAGAATAAACCTATGCTGCAGTCTCTGTTATAGGATTAGCACTTTAAAAAAAATGTGAGCTTCTTTCTTTCCTTCTCTTCTATCCTTCTGTCCATAATGTTTTCCCTATATACTAACAGAACACTCTTTGGGCCATCTTCTCATTGAGCTACCTTAAAATGCTACTGGCACCAACACTTCTCACTTCTAAGTTTCCCGTTTCCTCTTTCAAAATCTCTCAGAATGTTATTCTGCCTTCTTCTGTTTTGAAAACTTGACCACAGTTAGAGAAAACCAGGTATACTTGGTCAATATATTGCACCCCTTTCAAGTGACAATCTCATTTTAATGAAAATAGAGGCAATAATTAAAAACAAAGTGTTGAGGCTCTCAAGTGATCTAGTTTGGCAAACATTTGTTGTATATCTACTAATGCACAGCATTGACATAGATGAGGAAGTAACAAATATATGAAATAAAATTGTCTTTTCCTTACATAATTTGTAGTCTAGAGTGGATGGCAGACACATAGAAATAATTAAAAAACTGAATTCCAGGGAGTGCTGAAATAGAAGTTGAATCAAGAGTCATGGGAGAATGTGGGAGAAGGAGATGAATTCCAGCTGGAGAAATATAGGAGCTTTCCTTCCTGGGGGCATATTTGAGCTAAATTTTTAAGCATGGGGTTTGGGAATGGCATGAGGAACTTGATCAAAGACCCAGCTGCTAAAAAATGCAT